CCTGGTCTCTGAGCCTGCCCTATCTCCCTTTCCCTTCACTCCAAACACACCTGAGGCATCTTTCCAGTGCTAGACCCTATCCCAGCAAACAAAGGGTGGGGTGTCGGGCCCAGGAGCCTTTGCGGCAGTCTTAGTCTATGGTTTCCCTGGGGTATAAGTGGGGCTCCTGCCCCCCCCCCCATGGGCGCTAAATCACTCCTTTCACCTCTTTGCTTCCCTCTCCTTATACATCCATGGCCCCAGAACATTAGCACCTGGACAACCAAACTAACCCCCTGCTCCTGGGTCTCCCCTGCACCCAGGCGTTGGCAGGGGTGGTTCTGGTATGGCTCTACATATCCACTTAATCTCCCCTCTCCCACCCCCTCAGGCAGGAAGCTGAGGCCTGCTGGGGCCAGGGCACATCCTGACCTAAACACACATTCACACACATAGGGGCATTGATCACTCACGTGCTTCTCTCCACACCCACCCCCCACAACCCACAACCCAGTGGCAGGGAGCGAGGCCTCCCATTTTCAAAAGCGCTCTTGGGAGGACAATTTTCTAAATGTATCCTCCTTCTCAGAAGATATTCCCAGAGGTGAACAATAGACAAATTCCAGCCTGAGCAGAGCACTCTCCCAGGAAGGGGCTGGCTCACATGCAGAAAAATGCCCTAACAGGGGCCACAGGGCGATTCTGACACAACACCTGGGAGTGCCAGCCTAAAGCACAGGGCGGCACACACATCCCCAAGGTCTCCCCAAAGGATCTCAGATGCTCTCAGGAAAAACCTAAAAGGTGTCATGTCCCTATGCATCTGTCAACTCTGATGCATCTTTTAAAGTACCCCCCAAAGCTTTCCTAGAGGCCATAGGATCCCCACGGACAGCTTGGTCAGGTTCATCAAGTCTCCATGATTACTCCTCATTCCACAGGTCAGGGCAGGCCACAGAACAGGCCACAAACCCCAGGCCTTCCATAAGGATCCTTTCCTTGGCAGGAAGAGGGCTTTTCATTTCACTTTAGAAGATAATGTTCACAAGCCCCTGGCATAAGTTAGAAACATCTAACCCCCACTCTGTTGAATCAATCTAAAAACAAAAACAACAAAAACACCTCCAAAACAGCCCTCCCGTGCCCTAAACTGAGTTTCTCAGGTCCTGCTGGGACCTTACACACCCTCAGGTTTGGGGCGGGGAGGCTGTTTCATGCTCGTCCTCCCCTGCGCAGAGGCCACGGAAGAGCTTGGCTCAATAATATGCTGTCTCCAAGCACGCAAACACTCACACACACCCACCCCACATCATTTTTTTGAGGGTGGATAGGATGATGGTGTTGGGAGCAGAGAGAAGCAAAGAGTATGGTTAAGAATAAAACCTACATTAGGTTTCATCCTCAGTCCTTTCTCTGCAGTGCTTCTACTCCCCCCAATTCTTTGTTGGGTAGGGATGGCCGTCAAGAAGGAAGCCAAGATCTTGTTCTTTGGGACCAAAGGCCAGACCCTATCTCCTCTACCTGAATACAGTGATAGGACTTGGGCAGAGAGAACAGCTCACACCGCTCAACTGTCATGTCAAGGGACACCTAATTCCTGTTTCCCGAACAGCTGTTACTCAACTTAGGACTAGTCTTGGGTGGTTCCAAAGAGGGCACAAGGAGGAATAACTACTTTGATATCCATGACTCCCTGCTCAACACCCCCGTTTGGCTTAGGAATCAATGGCAGCGAGGTAGCCACAAACTATTTCCAAGGTCAACTGCCCGAAGAGAGAAGGAAAGGGCTTCATGAGCCACCGTCACCCAAGTTTCCTCCAAAAGGCACTTAGGCTGACCCCATCAGGTACCAGTGTGGCATGGTTCATTACAACATCCATGGGCACAATTCTTCGTCTTCCCCAGAGGAAATAACAGGTACCTGTCCACTCTTCTTGGATCCAGCCCTCGTCTGCTCATCCTACTGTTCTTCCTTTTGTCCCTGGTGTATAAGGAAGCCAAAGTAAGCTCAGCTGCCACTCCTGATCCTATTCTCCTTCAAGCAGGAAGTAAGGGGCAGGGCTGTGGAACACTGAGGATCAACTGCAACTAAAAACTCAATTCTGGAGGGCTGGACCACCCCTCGTCCCTGTGGCCATGGTTCTGTACCTCCAGATTACCTGTATCCACAGTGTACCTGCTGAAATTGCTTTTGGATAAACAAAAATAAGAACAGGACAAACAAATAAACAAGTCCCTCTCCCAATCTTTTTCATTTCAGCTGCCAGTTGGAGTCCAAGGTTGTGGGAGCCACATTTCAGTCTTGGTCCTGTACCTTGAGTCCCCCACCTATGACCTCAGCCAAGGGTCCAGGGACTAGCTTTCCTGCCCAGGAATGCTGTAGGAACTTCCCCGAGATACTCATAGTCTCAGATTATTTACAGAGCTGAGGCTCTGGGGCTGTTGTCCCCTGATGCACTCTTCTGGTCTCCTAGGTCCACTCCTCCAGGAGGGGACAGGTACACACGGGGTGGTGGTGGGACCGTCAGACCAGAGGAGGGTGCGTTCTTCGGTAGATTCTTCTCATCACTCCCACCACCCAGGGCCCCTTGCGCCTATAGAGAAAACTGCCCGTCGGAAGTCTTGGACTGGCACCCTTGGCACATCCGTTTGTGTCTGAGTAATCGATCTGTCCGAGAAAAACACTGAGAAGAAAGGGAGGGTTAAGTGCCTGAGAGGAGGAACTCATATACCTGTTGGCTAGGCCTGTCTTCCCCACACAGGAGGCATATAACCCATTTTATGTTGCCTCAGAACGTACACAGATGGCATGAATGCATAGTGGTTAAGAACAAATAAACTGAGAGGTCTGAATCTTGGCTCTGCCACTAAGTAGCTATGTGGCAAGTTACCTAACAGTTTTCAATCTGCACATCTACCTGAAAAATGGGGCTAAAAGTACCTACTCAGACTGTGGCTCCTTCATTCATCAAAGTTTTATTGAGTCTCAATCTCAAGGCAGGCACAGTTCTTGGGGCTGCAGATATCGAGTGGAGAACCAGAGGGACCAAATCTCTGCCTCGTGGAGCTTTCATTCTAGTGTTCTGAAGGCTCAATGTAGGAGCATGGAGCAAAGCTTGAGACACAGTGAAGCATCCAGGAGGTGTTGTCATCATTTCTTATCTCTTGTCCTTTGTTTTGATCCTGGCTCTTACATTCTCATCAGATCAGATACTGACTCTCAGAGCGGAGATTACCTTTCTTCTTCCAGCTCTGAAGTTTGACTGAATTCTGACTCTGCCCTTGACCTGCTGTGTCCTTGGGAAGCTTAACCTCTTTCAGTCTCAGTTTTCCCCCATGTGAAATGAGGACAACACATTATGGAATGAATGTAAGAATAATCTCTGTCAAGGGTGCTCTCATAGTGCCTGGCAGAGATTAAAACCTTAAGAAATGTTACTATTATTATAATTTTTTATTACAATTATTCTAATGGCCCCTCCCCATGAGCAGTTGCGTAAGGCCAGAGAAATACACCTCACCCTGAGGGACTGACTTGATCATGGCCCTTTGTCGGGCTGGGAGTGGGGCAGGCCCCCGTTCTTTGGGAAGGAAAAGTTTCTGTGGAGGGTGGATGGATGACATGTGAGCTTACCTGATGACACCGTTCACACTGGTAGGGCTTTTCACCACTGTGCACACGCTTGTGACGCTCCAAGTGGTACTTCTGAATGAAGCGCATATCACATACATCACACTCAAATGGCTTCTCACCTGGCCCAGATGGAGAGAGAAGTTAATAGCAGGAGGTATGCATGGCAGGGACCTTGTTCTAGGTTATTTTCCCAGAAATTTTAACTTTGAGCAATGTGCAGACACCTAACGGGGAAGGGTCCACAAAGCTGTTGGTTGGTCTCAGTGACACTAGATACAGAGCCATGCAATCTCTACCTCATTCATTTACCTTCTTCCGTTACTTCTAATAGCCTTTAAAGTAAACCAAACAAAAAAATAACATAAAATAAACCTAATAACACACACACACACACATACACACATGTATACCAAACTATCGACTATTCTCCCCTCCTTGAATTTGAGCAAAAGACTTACCGGTATGAATAAGGATGTGCCTCTTGAGGTGGTAACTGCTCCGAAAGGCTCCAAAGCAGTGTTCACAAACAAAATTTTTGGGAATCTTTACTTGAAAAGAACCATTTTGTTCCACTACTACAACCTGTGGGCAACAATCAGGCACATCATGAGGCTCTCTCTCTGTCCCCTTCTTGCCCCCATTCCACTCAGGGTCTATTTCCAGCTGCTGGACAAAGTAACCCCTCCGATGCTGCCATCTCCCGTCTCCCCTAGAGCCGTGGTTGGCAAATGGAGGCTCGCAAGCCACATGCGGCTCTTTGGCCCCTTGAGTGTGGCTCTTCCTAAGCCTTAGGAGTACCCTGATTAAGTTAATAACAATGTACCTACCTATATAGTTTAAGTTTAAAAAATTTGGCTCTCAAAAGAAATTTCAATCGTTGTACTGTTGATATTTGGCTCTGTTGCCTGAGTTTGCCGACCACGGCCCTAGAGTTCAGAGATCCTCCAAGAAAGGAGGGGGGTAGCTAAGCTGCCTGCCTTGTCAAACTTTATATATATATATATATTTTTTAAATCCTCACCTGAGGATATTATATGCAAAATATGTTAAGCCAAACATAATTTCTATTCAGAAAAGTTTAATGTTCAATGAAGGTGAAAAATTAGGTTTTGTGACTTCATTTTGAAGCTTGTTTCATGCATAAATTAAAGGAATACTGTTTGGAATTATGAGTTAGAAACATCGATCAGCTGCCACCTGCACACTCCCCACTGGGGATGTGCCCGCAACCAAGGTACACACGCCCAACCAGAATTGAACCTGGGACCCCTCAGTCCGCACGTCAACGCTCTATTCACTGAGCCAAACCAGCTGGGGCTCCACTGATTTTTAGAGAGAGTGGAAGAGAGAAATATTGATGTGAAAGAAATACATCAATTGGTTGCCTCCTGCACGAGCCCTGACAAGGGCCCAGGCTGGGGAGGAGCCTGCAACTGAGGTATGTGCCCTTGACTGGAATCGAACCTGGGATCCTTGGATCCTCAGGCCATCGCTCTATCTGCTGAGCCAAACCAGCTAGGCAAACTCAGTATTTTTAATGGGACCCGAGGCGTAGTCTGCCTGTCCTTTGACACAGGATCTCATGCTTCTCTAACCTTCCTTCCCTTACCAAGGATGTTCTGCAGAAGGTAGAGATGAACTTCCAAAGTGGTCTCTGGATGAAATTAGGGTGACACAATCATTGGCCACGAGGGACCAAAACATCTAGGGAAAGCTCCAGGTTGAGCCATAGAAGAAAGATTACCCCATTACCAAACTACCAGTTTGTGGATAACCCCATTACCTGCCTTTTTAACAGTCTTTTTTGAATGAGAGGCCTCAGCCAAGCTGTCTTCATCTTTGCGGCTCCGGGACTTATCGCTGTCTTTTCGGTGGCCCTTAGAATACAAATCAAATCTAAACTCACAGTCCATCTCAGAACCCAAGATAGAAGTCCAAATGCTACTTTTAGGCAACTTGTAAATGAGAGTAAACCCCCTGCCCAAAGGTTAAGAGAAAGTACTTATCCATTTCTTCTCCAAGTACTCCGGTTTTAAGGGGATGTAGGTATAGAAAAGGCCCTTCTTTGTTCTCTAAAAAACCCATATTCATTCATTCCCCAATTGGATCCCCTTACCCCACTTCCTTAAACAGAAGCACTGAGGAATCAAAGCTTGGCATCTCCTGGCAGAGAGCTTGGGCCACCCGACCCCCAGGTGCCACAGTGGATTCCAGCTCTGTACCTGACTGGAGCACCTCAGCACATCGGGGCTACCTGCCCGCTCTCCGTTCTCGGCCTGCTTGCTGGCAATCTGGCTCAGCATCATCTTCTTGCTGGCTGCAGTGGGAACCAAACTCACACCTGCTAGGCCTTCACAAGCCAGGAGACTTGCCTAAGTTGAAAGGAGATGAGGTATCAGGTCACCTGGCAGGGCAGAAACGGGCTGCCATCCTCCACAGAACTACCTTTTACTCCTACCTATGAACCAACTGCTCTACAGACAAAACTCTGCTTCCTTCAAGAGTCCTCCCTAACTCATCTCACCAGGAATTAGTTACTTATTTTGTCATCCATCATTTAGATATAATAATCAAGTATTACTGACACTTTTATCATTAGCACTGTGCTAGGTACAGTGTGGTCTACATGTTACTTTGAAGTGTTTCTAGGTCTTGGGAGTGGGCATGAGTCTGTCCTGCTGACCCACTGAAATGGGAGATTTCTAGAGGAACTTCCTCCCTCCTTTAATAGCACTCAGCTTTACAGACCCCACTAGCGCCAAGTATGTATTCTATGAGGTTCCACAAATGTTTATCGGTAAAATCAGGTTATTTCTCTCTTTAGATTTTAAATCCCCTAAGTGTATCAATTATAACAGACATAAAAATTAAACCACTTGGAAGGATTTGGGAGCTGAATATACAATTCCTGTTCACACACTACCTGGCCATTTATATGTGTGCATACTCGTATTTTTTCACATTCCTTGCTTGACATATAGTTTAAAATTACATAAGGAATGTTTAAGAAAATGTCCTCTTTCCACTGTTACATTCTTTAAATTGACTGTTTAGCCACCACTAGAGACTATACTTTTCTTACTGAAGGAACTTTTAAGTAGTAGTTGGTCAGCAAACTTCCACAAGTGATTTATAAAGAAATTCCTTTTAGGTGATCAGTATATCCTGGAACCCCTTCTTTCACCTTCAAAGACTTTGGACTAAAGCATCTGGAGGTTAAAAAAAAAAAAAAAAAAGCAACAACTTAGCCTTGCTGTTTGCATTATATAATCTTGGGCCAATTACTCCACCTCTTTAAGCCTAAGTTTCCTTAAATGGAAAATATTTATCATAGTATCTACCTTCACAGGGTTAAGAATTAAACTAGGATGTAAAATGCTCAGCTGTGCCCCGTACAAAGTGAGTGAAAGGCAGTCTTCTCAGAACGAGAGTGAACATGACGCCGTGAAAGGGGCTGCAAACGGACAAAGGAAGAAACTAAAGGGCTCCTATTCTGCACGGAGAGCAGGAAGCTATGCCTGCAGCTGGAGGAAAGCCAATTACACTGCAATCAGGCTGTCATCCTGGTGAGACTGGTAGGGGAGTGTCCCTGGAAGAAAGCTGAGAGAGGCTCCAGAGATCCCTGCACATAGCTTTCCGACCCAGACGATGAAAATATACCACCAATAGACTATCAGGTCATCCTCTCTCTCTCCAATCCGCCTTGTATCCCCACAATGGCAATTACCTTCTAAATACACTGATGTCACTCTAGTTAACATTCTTCAGAGTTCCCACTCTTTATAGAATAAAGTCTAGTTCCTCAGCAAGGCATAAAAGACCCTTGGGTTACACTCTGCTTAATTCTCCAGGAAGCAACTCCCTCACCCCAATTTTCCCATTTCTCTCTAGCCTAACCCCCAACCACCCCCCATTAGAATCCTTTCCTCAACGCAGCAAACTATCTCCATACCCCCAACCTCATCACATCATCCCATACCTCTAAGTCTCTGCCCATGAAGTTCTCCTTGTCTGAATGCCCTGTTCTGATTATTTAGCAAAATCCTATGCATCCTTCAAGATTCATCTTCTTTTTCCATCCAGGCAGAGGTATCATTCTCTCTTCTGCAGTACACATATCTCAATTATTGCACATTCCTTCAATCAACAGATTCACTGAATCTCTACTATTAGCCACTATGCAAGGTAGTGTGAACATAAAGATTGGTAACAGACTGTCTCTCCATCTCATCCCCCACCCCCCACCCCACAAGCACACCTAGCCTAGAAGCTTGCTGGGGACTGGGACGGCTTATTCATTTTTGTATCCCCAGCACAATGCCTTGCATATAACAAGAGCTCAATAAAATTCCTGTTGAAAAAAACAAACAAACAACACACAAAGGAAGCATTCACAAGACTGTTTACTCCCTCGAGCCCCTCAGCACTTAATGTACCAAGTGTAAACTGAGTACCTGTTGCTTTGCAAAGGTCCCATCAGTGCCTGTGATGCAGTATAGCCTACCTCCTTCATTTGACTGGAAACTCCCTGAAGGCAGGGGCTGTGGCCTGTCTCCTTTCCTTCCTCTAGATCTCCCCCTGGTGCTTAATACAGAGCTTGGCTCACTGGGTTGGTCAGTATGTTGACTAAGGCAGCATTTAAGAGTGAAACTGCAAACACGCTTCCCAGTTATCTTGAAGGAGGAGGACTCTAGAGCTTTTTACCTGAGCCATGCTGAGGTCTCAATGCAACCCCAAAGTTCTGGGTTTTCTTGATCCACCTTCGCTTAAGACACTGTTGTTGGAAGAACTGTCACCAAATCACTGTAACAACTCCTTCGTGTCCCTTCAGTCCTGCTGCCATATTGAACTGCCTTTGTCGTCAAATAAAACTTAGTGTCCTCCAAATGGAAGAGAGGTGTTTCAAGAATTCCTGGGCTCTGCCTGGCTCCTGCCTACTGTCTGAGGAAAAAGAGTGTGCCAGTCTTGATGTTCCAACTGAATTTTCTGGACGAAGTTGGCGATCTGTTTCAGAAACCTGAAACTAGAAAGGGAGATGGGGCTGTTAGGTGCAACATCCTCAGGCTTTCCAACCTGTAGTGACCTGAACTGTGTGTGTGTGTGTGTGTGCGCGCGCGTCAGAGTTATCTTTCTAGGCCGAGAAGAAACTGGTCTCTTGGGGAAGGGGAGAGGGGACAGCCAAGAAGAGCAAAAGTAACTGGGGTCTCTTGCGGAGGAACCGCAACTGGCCAAACGCTCGCATTTGCGACCCGAGGAATGGAAGAAGGGAGCGGAGGCCCTGAAGGGGCTTTTGTGCGGAGTGGGCCATCCGCGAAGCTCTGTTAAGGTGGCCAGAACTGCGGTGGAGAGAAACTCAGGGGCTGCCACTGGGCACTTGAGTGCAGGAGGCAGAAACCAGACTGGCAGCGTGCACCCCGGCCGGGCCACGCGCGCGCTTTCTCCGAATCCGCCCGAAGGTGCAGAAACTCACTGCGGAGGTGGAAGGCAGGCATGCGAGGACTCGCGCTGCGCTTCCCCCCTCCCTCCCTCCAGCCAGCGAGCCGGGGAGCCTAGCGACGGGACAGAGACGCAGAGCGCCGAGGAAGGTGCGTGCAAGGTGCGTGCTCGCGCCCGAGTTCCCTCCAAGCAAGCCCCCCTTTCTTGAGTCGGTCACGCGGCGGGCGGGCGGGAGCGTGGG